GTATCGAAATTTGGTACCGAACGACGATACTTTTTTCGATACTCGATGGTATTGAGGCAATTCGGTCGGTGCCTAAAAAGTATCGAACTCGATACCCAGCCCTAGTTCTGACTCACAGACTGTAAGTACGTTTTCATATTTAAAGGATTTGCCACTGATGATTCAAACGCGAGTTTTGAGCAGTGTAGAGTAGCGCTTGTTGTTTGTCATTTTTCCGATCACAAATGCAGACATAGTTTTATGTTTACACAGCGCGATGCAACGCAGCGCGTAAAAAGCCAGTATAAATCATTATAATCCGTAATTATGTCCCCACTGGATGTAGCTGGCCAATCAGAACACACCTTACTTTTCAGACCGATGAGCTTTGTAAAAATCGACGCGTTTCAGGAAGGCGGGGCATAGAGGAGAAACAATAATGTACAGTATGTGGAAAATAATGTGTTTTTTGAACTACATGAGATTGAGGGTGAAGATTTGATGTCATACACCGATCGGTCTGCACACGCAAACAAAGCCAAAACCTAGATATTTTAGGCAATATAGAAATCCTGGCCAGGACGCGTCCTGGGAAAATGGCACGTATGGTCACCCTAATATAAACAGCATAAATGGTTGATATTTGTCCTTTACCTTTTTTAGATCACATTTATGAATTAATGTGCTACAACCTTGTACGGGAATGGCAGGGGCAGAAACACAAAACTCACACTTACACTCACACTCTTACAGACTCTCTCTCTCCCACACACACACACACACACATAATCACACATACACATACTAATAGCAGTCCCAGACATAAGAGGACAGAGTGAAGGTACACAGGACCTAAAATTTACAGCATTTTACTAGCCCGAACATCCTGTATGTAATATAAGTGTTCAGATGCAGATTCCAGAAATGTTTTCTTATGTTGGAATGAAAGACACTAAGTACCAGATGAAGTGCTTCTTATTCTTATCCAAAAATACTAAATGGAAGAAAGAGTTCAAACTGAACGCAATCTTGCTACTCAAGCTGTGTATGAACATCTTTATATATATATTTATTTGCTTCTTTTCCATTTTGCATTTACTTGTACTTTTACTTTCAATACTTAGGTATGCTTAAGATTTAAAAAATAATTTTCGTACTTAAGTACAATAAATATCACATACTTTAAGACTTTTACTCAAGTAATATTATAAATGGTAACTTCAACTTCTACCAAAGTCATTTTCTGGTAAGATATCTGTACTTTTACTTGAGTATGGCTTTTAGGTACTTTATACACCACTGCCTTATTGAGACAATAAAGCCCTCTACACCTACCCCTAATCCTAACCAATTAAGACCCATGATGAAGAACTTTATTTTTAACTTTTCGATTATTTCCTTCATTTGTATTGAAAATAAATGCCTTTCCAATGTGATATGGTATGTAAAAAGGGACATTCTAAAACGCTTAATGTGAAAAACTCTTAACATGGCTTAATGCATTAAACAGTGCTTTTAAAAGATCAAACTCAATAAGCATATTATTAATAAAGCATACTATGTACAGACAAGCAGATGAGTCCAGAATAAGAATGCAACACGTTTAATTACACCCTAAGCTTTTTCCTCCCATAAGGAACATGCTTAACGTGGCTTAATGCATTAAAACAGTGTTTTTAAAAATACCAAACTCAATAAACATTATAAATAAATCAACCTTGTCTGTACATAGTATAATTTATTAATAATGTTTATTGAGTTTTGTATTTTTAAAAACACTGTTCTAATGCACTAAGCCACGTTAAATGTTTTCATGGGAGGAAAACACTTAACGCGTAATTAAAAGCGTTATGTTCTTATTCTGGACTCATCTGCTTGTCTGTACATTACAGTATCTCACAGAAGTGAGTACACTCCTCACGTTTTTGTAAATATTTTATTATATATTTTCATGTGACAACACTGAAGAAATTACACTTTGCTACGATGTAAAGCAGTGAGTGTATAGCTTGTATAACAGTGTAAATTTGCTGTCCCCTCAAAATAACTCAACACACAGCCATTAATGTCTAAACCGCTGGCCAAGTTACAAGGTCTCAGGTGTGAATGGGGAGCAGGTGTGTAAAATTTGGTGTTATTGCTCTCACTCTCTCATACTGGTCACTGGAAGTTCAACATGGCACCTCATGGCAAAGAACTCTCTGAGGATCT